AGGATGTGGCGGCGTCTTCTCCGAGACAGAGAAGCATACACAGAAGTTTCTCCCTTGCAGGAAGCCGGGATGGGCTGGGCCTCTGCTTCTGTCCCAGAACCACAGGGAAAGGCTGCTCTGAGTGGTCTTGGGACCAAGGATTGAGCCCTTCATCAGGCCCCTGCCTGCTGACTCCAGGTGACTGTGGCTCCATGACCTCAGCTGAGACCTCAGAGAGGAAGGTGCCTGGGGTGGCAGGCTGCTGGGTAGAAGGAAGGCTGTGGTCCCTGGCCTGCAGAGGAGGAGGTGGGCCACCAGTGAGCTGCTTGGGAGATGGGGGTCAGGACGGCTGCTGCCAGGAACCTGGGGAAAGACCTCCCCAGACCCACTGCTGCCACATCCTTCCCGTGAGACCGCAGCCAACTCCCTCCCCCCGTCCCCCAGGCATGAGGAACCAGTGATTCTTCTCCCCACTTACTGTCACTTGAGGTAAGGCCCAGACCTGGACCAGGCCCAGTCTTGGCCAGTTGAAGGAAGAGGGGTATGGGTCAAAGCTGAGCACCTTCTGGGTGACTGTGAGTCGGGGTGGCCCTTTGAGACCACTTGGGGAAATTCCACCACAGAGTACAGAAGGGGTAATGGTGGGCACAGAGGTAGCATGGGCCAGAGGCTCGCCAGAACAGTCCCAGGGCACCTGGCTACACCAGCAGGTGGCCCTGTTCTTGTTTACCACGTCCTTGCTTGCTAAAAACCTCGAGCAGCAAAACCAGGCTTGAAACCTGTGCTGGTGCCTTGGAAAGCCTTCACTCCTGGGGTGGCAGGGAGTCCCCCCATCCCCTTGCTGTCTGCCCCCTCCTCGGAAGTTCTTCTGTTATCTCCTAACTCCTTGCTCCCCAAACACTGCAACTGTGTGGCTGTTACCTGGGCTGACCTCTCTTCTCTCAGGCCTGTGCAAAAACACAAACCTAGTCCTAGCTGAGCCCAGGACCCTGCCCTGCATTCCGAGGCCTGTGCCCCATAGCGCAGTCTAGGAACTGGCAACCTTTGCGTGTTTTTGCCTGGTGGCAGGCATGGGAGGTGACCAAGTGACAGATCAGAATGCAGATGAGGGTGGAGACATCTACGTGTGTCTGTACGAGGGTGTGTGCAGCTCTGGCCACCAGTCACTTTTTTGTTGCTGTTGTAAGATGTGTCTATTTGTTTGAAAGTCAGAGAAGGGGTCTGGTGGTGCACTCACCAGATATACACAGCAGCCCAAGCTGGGCCAGGCCAAAGCCAGGAGCCAGAAGCTTTATCCGGGCCCCCTGTGACATGCCCTGCTGCTTTCCTAAATGACAAGCAGGGAACTGAATCCAAAATGGATGGGTAGAGGATGCTTGCATCACAGGCAGTGGGTTTACCTGCTACAGTGCCAGCCCCCACTAGTGGCCCTTGCATCAGAAGAATGACTTTGGTGTGGGTGAAGATCCAATGCTAGAGGGTCGAGACCAGGAATGCCTCCTGCACCACAGCCTTCGGATTGTGCCTCCAGCCCAACCCGCCCCTCCCTGGCTATTTTTGGGCAAAGGGGAGACAGTAGCTGGTGGCTCTGGGTCTTTCCCGTGGTGACGAGGCAAGCCCTGGACACTCAGCTGCTGCTGCCTTGTTTTTTTTTTTTTTTTTGTAAAATTTGTTTATTTTTATTGGGAAGTCAGAATTGCAGAGGCAAGGAGAGATAGAAAGATTTCCCATCCACTGGTTCACTCCCCAAGTGGCTGCAAAAGCCAAAGCTGAGCTGATCTGAAGCCAGGAGCTTCTACTGGGCCTCCCATGTGGGTGCAGGATCCCAAGGCTTTGGGCTGTCCTGGACTTCTTTCCCAGAGCACAAGCAGGGAGCTGGAAGGGAAGTGGAGCAGCCAGTATACGAACTGATACATATGGGATCCTGGCACATGCAAGGTGAACACATTAGCTACTAGGCTACCATGCTGGTCTGCTTCCAGTGTCCCCCGGAAGATCCAGGCCTGGGAGGAGTGACCTTTCCTGCCCTGGGGGAGTTTTCCTTGGGCTATATGCGACTACTGTTTCACCCTCAATCCCACTCCTGGGGTTCCTGTGGTCCCTACAAGTATGCAGGCTCTGAAACTGCTAGGGTGCTGGGTGATTCTAGGTGATAAGCGTAGTTTTCTTGGTTGTCCTGCTGTGGAACTGTCTCCTCCTGGTGGAGTTATTTTAAGGATTAAGTGAGTGGTGGCCAAGGTGCTGTGCTCCTGAGGGTCAGCTCCAGGCCAGCACCGCTGGGGATTGAGGTCATCAGGGTTTTAGCCCTTGCAGCCTGAAGCCCTTGTGCTTTGCCCTCCACCTGCACACCTCCTCTCCTGTGAGGCCCAGTAAGCCCCCCTTCCCAGCATGCGCCCCCTCCCTCCTCTGGTGGGTTCTGTGAGTCCTCGCAGCCCGCTCAGGCGCTACCTGGAGTCCCAGATCATGGCGCAGTGTCAGTGTGACGAGAACCATTCACGGGATCAGGGCTGTGGTGAGAAGGCCAGTGAAGGCCCTGCCTCCGGTGTACTTACCACGTCCTCCTGACAGCTGGCTCAGCGCAGGCCTTGTACCCCCGGTGTATGTGAGCTTATGCTCGTCACAGGTGCCATGGTAGAAAGGCAGCTCTTCCCCATGCACACCCCCCCAAGGGGTTCTGCCTGTGGGGTCGCTCTTAAGAGAGCAGTGGGGGGCCTGGGTGGGTGCAGTCCCTCTCCTAGTCCCTAGCCTGGGCCTCCTGGGAGCCCAGCTGTGTTGCCTGGGGCTTCTGCTCCCTGCAGCTCAGCCACCTTCTCTTCCCCACAGCCCAACCTGTTGGAGAACTGGGCCGGTGACTCCTGAAGCAGGGCCTGTAGCTGGTCTCCCCTTATCCTAGCCTGCCAGGCTGTGGGTTTTCCCTGCCTGGCATGTTTAGGCAATGAGTGGACCGTGAAGGACACCTACAGGTTGGAGCTGGCCAGGGACAAAGGTCTGCAGGTACCAGGGTCCCCCAAGTCCTATGCCTCTTTGTAATGAGGGGACACTTGGTGGCCCATAAACCCAGATGTGTTTGGGGTCCTAGGTTCCCAGCCAGCAGGGGGAAGAATGGTTGTGGCCAGCCATGGGAGAGCCTAGCTGACCTTACAGCTTGCTGAGCGAGGGGCCTGGTGGCAGACCCAGCAGGCCTCTCGGCATTGAAGGCTAACGTCCTTCTGGAAGGGGCAGGAACATGCCATGGGCTGTGATGGTGTCCCGTGTTCATGGGAGACCGGGCCTCCTGGCCCAGCAGGTTTGGCTGCCATGTCCTTCCTTGCCCTGTGCTCTCTGTGTGGTCAGGGGAGGGGTAGGGTACACAGTGTCCTCCACGGCTTGCTGAGCCCCAGGTCTTCACTCTGCTGTCCTGTGAGTGGCCCCTCTGCCTTTGTGCCCAGGGGCGAGCTCTGAGGGCTTTCTGTAGGGTCAAGTGCAAGTGCTTGACCTTGCTTTGCTTTGGTTTCTCCCTGTGTGCTGACACAGGCACAGGCACAGGGCTGCCTGGCCTTGCCAAACCCTGCCTCCCTTGCTATGCAGTGGGGCAGCCTTGGTTCCCCTGGAGCAGGACCTGCCAGGGCTCCCTGGTACTCACCCTGGCTTCCTTCCCACCTCAGCTCCCTCCCCCATCCCTCTCACCACCTCCGGAGACAAGCCTCCTGGACTGTTGCCCACCCTCTCGTCATCCACGTCCAAGGCCATGATTCCTTGGACGCTGTACCTTTCCCCACCTCCAAGTGTTCCCAAATGCCTGCAAGAAGCCCAGAGCCAGGAGCTTGATCCAAGTCTCCCATATTGGTGGCAGGGACCCAGCTACTTGAGCCATCACCTTCAGAACTGGTACAGGGTGTGGCGTACAGGGAGACCCTCCTTTCCTTTGGCATGTCAGAGGCGTTCCCCCTCCAGGCTACGCTCAGCAGAGATGGAACAGCAGGTCTTGCCAGGGGGCAGGAGCCAGCGTGTGGGTACAATGGACGGAAACCTCACAGTGGGCCAGTGCAGGGAGGCAGGGAAGTGCAGGGCCAGCTACCTACCCCTCGGCAGGCAGCTTATGAACACCCTTGTCACTCTAGCTGAAGGGCTCTGCACTCAGGGTACCCGCTCCCAAATGCCCCTTTTCTCCATTTGTTGAACAAAGACCTTACCTACATTTACAGAAATGTCAAGTTAACAGTAACTGGTGCAACGTCTTTCCTTCTTCCAAGTCCAGAACTGCAGCAGGCCCTGAGAGCTGGCTTGCACCAACCCCTTCAGGTCCTCCCCACATCCCCAGCACAGCTTCTCCTGGGCCTCTGCCCTTCCTGCTCCACACCAGGAGTCCGTGCCCAGCTGGGAGGGGCACTGTGGCTGAGGGACAGAACAGATCTTGTGTATCGAGGCCACGCTGTTCATGTCTGAATTTAATCACGAAATGCCTCTCGTGAGATGTGAGATACAAGCTCCCAGGGGCCAATGGCACAGAGCTAAGTCAGATTGCTTGGGTTTAGGATCTTCGCTCCACCACCAATTGGTGGCCTTGGGAGACTTCTGACCTGGGTGCTTTGGTTTCCTCAGCTATAAACTAGGATTAAAAGAGACCTTAACTGAGTGGCAGGCACCCAAGCCCACACCCTCCCATCCTCCGGGGCTGGTGGAGGTCAGTGAGAATAGCCTAACCTGGACTCGGCTTGGGGCCCCAATTCTGTGTGGGACAGGCAACCCTGTACCTGTCGGGATCTCCTTGAAGCAAGGCCAGCCCCTTGGGTCTCTGCTTGTCACCAGCTGCCTGCCTGCAGGGACTCAGAGCTTTGCAATCACACAGTCACATCTGCCAGGAGCCTGGGGACCAACTCACCAGTTGTTCACTGTGGCCAGGGGCCCTGCTCCCCAGAAATTCCAGGTGGGGGGTCACATGGCCACGCCTGGGCAGCCGCTGGCCCAAGGAAGGTCCCGTGATGCTATCAGGGAGCCACACACCACTGGCTCAGGAGTGTCCTGATCATCTCTGCCCACAGGGGTCCAACGTGATGGAAGAGCAAGACCTGCGGGAAATTGGCATCAGTGACCCACAGCACCGGAGGAAGCTGCTCCAGGCCGCACGCTCTCTGCCCAAGGTAATCACCCCTAAGCCAGGGCCCGCTGCTTGTTGCTACCACTGGACCAAACGTACACACCGTGCACGTGTCCCCTCGTCCCAGGAGCCCTCAGCAGAGCCAGCACCCCACACAGCATGGGCTCCCCCCGGGAGCAGTGAGCACCTTGTCAGGAGTCTGCCAGGTTCTGGCCTGAGTCTGTCCTGCACCCCTTAGAACATCCCGTGACTCACTTCAGGCCGCCGTGTGCTGACCTCTGTGGCAAGCTGCTCTCCGGGTGGGCCTGGGCCCTCCTGTGAGCTGTGCTGGTGCCAAGACCACAGCACCTGTGGCCTTCCACTTGCTCCGGGCTTCACAAACCCATTTTCTGGCCCCTCCTTCTGTTCCCCACATAGCTTTACCCACTAGGGCAATCCCCCTCAGCTCTGGGAGGTCTGCTAACGGTCTGCTGGAGCAATCGTACTGGAAGTGGAGAGGCTTAGGGCTGCTGAGGAGCCCCGCCCCATGATGTGGCCATGTGAGCTGGCCTGGACCCAGATCCCCAGGTTGTTAGTGTGCAGATGTCAGCCTGCTTGTCTCCCTTGCCCCACAGGTGAAGGCCCTGGGCTGCGACGGGAGCAGCCCCCTGTCGGTGCCCTCCTGGCTGGACTCCCTGGGGCTGCAGGACTACGTGCACTCCTTCCTGTCCAGCGGCTACAGCTCCATCGACACTGTGAAGAACCTCTGGGAGCTGGAGCTTGTCAATGTGAGTGCGACCTCTGCCCAGGCTGGCCCAGTCGTGGGGAGCCCGGGAGCCCATCTGCCACTGACCGCTCCCCTCCTCACTGCCCAGGTCCTGAAGGTGCACCTGCTCGGCCATCGCAAGCGCATCATTGCCTCCCTGGCAGACCGACCCTACGAGGAGCCGCCCCAGAAGCCACCAAGGTTTTCGCAGCTGAGGGTGAGTTAAGGAGGGGTGAGAAGGGTCTGTATGTTCTCTGGGACTTGAGGACACAGAATCCTTGGGGAAAAGGCTCTTGCCTGGTGAGATCACATGCCTCTCCTTTAGCTTCAGAGAGGTGCTCTACAACAGAGGAGCTGGGGCTCTGCCCCTTTAAGCAGATGCCCACCCTCAGCTGTTCTCACAAGGAGCCCCGCAGCCAGCCTGCAGCTGGAGCTAAGACGAGGTGCACTGTGTGTGTGTTCAGCTCTCTTCCCCATCCCAGCTTCCTGCCAGGTCTCGCCCTGGGAGGGACTGGTTCAGCTGGTCCCTGCCATCAGGATGGGTGACTTGGCTTGAATTCCTGGCCCTAGACTTCAGCCTCAGTCCAGCCCCAGCCATATGGGGAGTGAGTGGGATCTTCAAAAACATAAAATGTACTTATCTTCATTTACTTGGAAAGCAGAGAGACAGATCTTCCATGCAGTGGTTCACTCCCCAAATGCCCACATCAGCCAGGATATGGCCAGACTGAAACCAAGAGCCCAGAACTCCTGCCTGGTCTGTCATGAGGGTAGCAGGTACTTGAGCCATCACCTCCACCTCCCAGGGTGCACTGGCAGGAAGCTGGACTAGAACTAGGCAGCTGCTCCAGCACAGCTTGGGGGCATCGCAAGCAGAGACTTCACCTCACCGCGACACCCACCCCACAGGAGGCTTCTGTCTCTCACAAAAGTCGTTGGTCTTTTTTTTAATTGGGGCAAATGTTTGACACAGCTGTTAAGACACCACTTTGAATACCGACATCCCGCAGTATTAATGAGTGCTTAGGTTCAAGTTCTTCCCCTGCTTCCAAATCCAGCTTCTTGCCGACACGCCCCTGTGAGCCACGAGGTGGTGACTCACCTGTTTGTGTCTAGTCAGCCACGTAGGAAGACCAGGTGGAGTTCCTGCGCCCAGCTCCAGCTTGGAGCCCTGGCTGCTGAAAGTGTTTGGGGAATGAAGCAGCGATTCTTTGTGTTCTCTCTCCCTCCCTCTCTTTCAAAGAAAATAAATCTTTTTTTTTAATTTATAAATGTAAACACTGAGGAAAAAGTACAGCCTACAGAATGCAGCTTTGCCTGAGGCTGCGCTGGGGCCAAGCCCTGGCCGCAGAGCGAGGTTAGGTGGGAGGAGGCCCTTTCTGGACAGCATGCTGTCAGCCCCAGGCCCAGAGGGCTGGAGCACCTCGCTGCTGATTGGTTGCAGAAATCACATGATCCCTGGCTGCAGCCTGAGGTGCTGTCCACCACAAGCCGTGACTGCCCAAGCCCCGCCCAGGCTGCCACCTGCCAAGCTCCTCCCCTGCACACCTTCCCATTTCATATTTCACCAACTTCAGAAACTAGGAGTTATTTGATCCTTCACCGGAGAAGCTGCAGACCAGCCTCATTCTGGGATCCGAGCGCACACCTGACAGATAGGAAAACAGGGTACAACATTCAAATACAAAACTGGAAGGAGCTGGCTTGCCTCCTTTAAGAGCCAGGGCCATGGGGTGCTAACCAGCCAGCCCTGCGCTGGGCTGTGCGGGTGCTCGGCTCCTTGGTGAGTACAGGAGCCGCGTCCTGCCCTGGAGCTGCCCTTTCTTGCTGCGGCTGCAGCCCAAGGCAGCACTAAGAGTTCTTGTGCTGGATCGTCGGGGCTTCTTGGCTGTCACCTGTGTGCCTGCAGGCTTCTGCCCGGTGTGCTAACAGCTCCCTGTGTTGGCCCTGAGCTGTGGCAGCCGGGCCAGGGGGCTGGCATTCCACATGTCTTTCTCCTCATGCAGTGCCAAGACCTGCTCTCACAGACACCGTCCCCCCTGAGCCAGGACGACTCCTGCACTGGGCGTTCAGTGGACCTGCTGCTGCCTTCCGGGGACATGGGCCAGAGGCGGCACGACAGCCTCCACGAGCCTGCAGCTCCTTCTCGCGCTGAGCGCTTCAGGATCCAGGTGGGACAGCAAGGGAGTATGGCTGAGATGGACAAACCCCCTAGTACTGGGGGGCCTGCATCAGGGCACATCTCCCCCTGCTCCCCTCGTGGCCCCACAGCCACCCCAGCCCTGACTGCATAGCTCCCTTCAGCTGTCGGTGGCTGGGACTGCCTGCACCACACATGGCCTGGATTCGGGTCGTAGCCCCTAACCCCTCTGTGAGTGAAGCTTCCGGCCGTGGCTCCTGCAGCTGCCCCCTCTCCAGCCGCCTGAGCCTGATGACTGATGTTCCCCAACCCCGCCCCACTGCAGCCCGGGCCAGTCTGCCCCTCCCACCCTGTCCCGCAGCCTTACTGCCTGTGCTGGCCCTGGTGCCACAGCAGTCCTTGGCCACAGTGGCTGCATCTCTACTCTGGGTTCATGATCTCAGGGCGCCCAGTGTCCCCGCACCTCCCTCACCTTGCACAGCCCCTAGCCTTGTCCCTTCTCTGCTTGTTGGATACCAACTTGGCACATATCCCTTGTGCCTTTGCGAGTATACAGTAGCTTCACTCGTGCTTTTTGATTCACACTTGTCATTTCTGGCACTGAGGACACCCCTTGCTCTGCTACAGACACAGCCGCAGTTGTGGCAGACCTGAAGAGCATCCCTCCCAATAGTCCCAGCTGCTCTTCACAGACGGCAGCAGCCGGGAACGCCAGCCTCCCAGGCTTCCTTCTCGGGAAGTAGTCAGCTCCACCTGGGCTCCCATCCCTCTCCCGCAACTGCTCAAAGCTCCATTTACAATGCAGCCCTTGGGTGGGAGTTTAGCCTGGTCCTTCAGACTCTCACCTTGTAAGATAAATCACAAGGCCTGGGTCAGCAGCAGCTCTGGCTTCCTGCCAGTGCAGAGCCTGTGGGCATTCAGGGAATGGACCGTAAATAAATCAATAAAAAAAGTGTCCTGAACCAGGCGCTCCCCCACCTCGGGCTCTTGGACCATTCCCTCTGTGCTGGACAGGGCCCAGTGGCCCAGGCTTCCCTGGACAAATCCTGCTGTTTTCCCTCTGGGCTGCTGGCCTTTTTTGCTCTCCTCGGAGTCCTCAGGGTCCTGCTCCTGCTGTTCCTTGGCTGTCCTCAGCGCCCCCTCCTCCCTTCCAGGGCATTGGAATTACTTACTAGATCAGGCCCTCCCCACGTGCCCTTGACCTAGGACCCTTACCCCTCTGGAGATTGTTGGCCTCTGAGCCCATGGGGTGCCAGAGTGAGCCGGCAAGCCAGCAGCCTGTGTGTTGCAGGAGGAGCACCGCGAAGCCAAACTGACCCTGCGGCCCCCAAGCCTGGCCGCCCCCTACGCCCCCGTGCAGAGCTGGCAGCACCAGCCGGAGAAGCTCATCTTTGAGTCCTGTGGTTACGAAGCCAATGTGAGTTCCTCCTACCACTGCTCCTTGGCCAGGCAGGCCCATGGACTGCCTGCTGCCACAGGCCCAGGGCACAGCAGGGTAACTGCTCTGCAACCTCTCCCAGCAGCACAGGTGGGGGCAGGGGCATGCAGACCCCTGGATGAGCTCAACCAGCACTGGCAGAAGGGGGCACACAGTTGTGGACCCAGATGGGTGGGCCACTCAGGATGGTGCCCAGGAGCCCTCACCTGGCCTCTGTTGGCACCCACAGTACCTGGGTTCCATGCTCATCAAAGAGCTGCGAGGGACAGAGTCCACACAAGACGCCTGTGCCAAGATGCGGGTAGGTGGGCCAAGACGCGGGGACTGGCTGGTACTGGCCGCAGTAGATGGGAGCACCAGGTCCACACCCCCGCAGTGTGAGGGTGGGCAGGAAGGGCCCTCACACCACACCACTGTCTCCTGCAGAAATCCACCGAGCACATGAAGAAGATCCCCACCATCATCCTGTCCATCACGTACAAGGGGGTCAAGTTCATTGATGCCTCCAACAAGGTTTGCCTCTGCTAGGACCATAAACGAGAGGAGGGAGGAGGGAGCTCTTATCACAGGGACCGGATTCCAGGATGAGCAGCCCCGATGCCCTTCCTCACCCTGCCTCTTCACCACTGTCCCCGGGTCCCTGTCACTGCCATCCCCGCCTCTCCTGCCTGCTCCCAGGCCTTCAGTGAGCAAAGGACCATGCACCCCACTCGGGATGTCATCTCCCCTGACCCTGGAGTAGGCAGGGCTGGAGAGAGTGAGCTCAAGGCTGGATGTTAGGGACTTCAAACCTAAATGGGGCAAGGGCAGACACTGTCCCCCACAAGAACCCAGCGAGGTGTGGACGTGAGTTTGGCCGACGTGCTAGGTTGGGTCAGAGAGGTGGTAGAGATGGCTGAAGCACGGGGCGGCCTGGCCCTGAGGCTGGCCGAGTCTGCAGGGCCCACCCTCCCTGCAGAATGTCATCGCGGAGCACGAGATCCGGAACATCTCCTGTGCAGCCCAAGACCCCGAGGATCTGTGCACCTTTGCCTACATCACCAAGGACCTGCAGACCAGCCACCACTACTGCCACGTCTTCAGCACTGTGGATGTGGTAGGTGGCATCCCACGGGGGGCGGTCAGCGGCAGCCCCAGGTCCTCAGCCCAGCAGACCTTCTGAGGGGCAAGGTGCCCACCCCGGGAGATGTGCTTCCTCATATTTCCACTCACACTCAGCTTGGGTGCCACCCTTAGGGAAAGCAGCTGCTTCTGGAAGCTCTGAGCACCCCCTGCACCCCATGTCCTCCAGGCCCTGGTGTCAGACATCCAGCTCTGCCCCTTGCAGGCCCCCCGTTGCTTTCCTCACCTATACGAGGGGACATAGGGCACTTCAGAGGGGTTTTAGGAAATGAAATTCATTTATTTTTGGGAAAAAAAAAAACTGAAATAACATGCGTAGTTGTTACCTGATAGACAAGTGGAATGGTCCACACCGCTCGTGGTCCAGGGCACTTGCACTGTGTGCCAGGTTGTATTTTGTTTGTGCTCCCAAAATGTACCGTGCTGTGTAAAACCACAGGACACAAAAGAGGGATTATAAAACACCAGCAGTTTGTTCTACTAAACGGATAAGCAGCAGCAAAATATTGGAGCGCACAGAACTTGGCTTTGAAGGCCTGTGGTTGGCTGGCCATAATGTGCACCTGTATCCACCGCTGTGACCTTGCCAGACAGGGTCACCAGCTCCTGGCACTGAGACACAAGGCCATGGCAGCTGGGGGGTCTCCGTGTGGCAGGTTCTGCATTTCCTGCCCTGTGAGAATGGACTTGGGGCGGGGGGGACTGGAGCGGGGAGGCAGTGACTGTACCCTGTGTGCTGACGCCATGCTGTCTTCTCCCAGACTCTCACCTACGAGGTCATCCTGACGCTGGGGCAGGCCTTCGAGGTGGCCTATCAGCTGGCCCTGCAGGCCCAGAAGGCCAGGCCCGCGGTGGCCCCTGCAGCCGAGATGGTTGAAACAAAATCTTCCAAACCAGTGCCTAAGCCTCGGGTCGGCATGAGGAAATCCGCAGTACGTGGGCTGCCCCCTCTTTGGCCCCTTGGGAGGGGGGTGGTATGAGGAGGGGCGGCCCCCCGCAGTGGTGCCCATGCACTGCTCCGGTCCACCTTGCCTTGCCAGGCTCCTGCCCACCCTGGGCTGTGAGCGCATGGCCCGTAGCAAGCCGGTGACGGCGCCCCTCTGTGTCTGTGTCTGCTTTGCTCTGCACCCCAGGTGCCGTTGCCCCCTGATAGTCGCTGTTGTCACTGTCACACCTGCACCACCCACCGTCCTTCCTACCTACCACGGCCGCCTCTCAGTCCTGGAGTCAAGGTCTTTGCGCTTCCTGTCTTGTGTGTCCGTCTCCCTCATGACCGTGAGCTCTCGTCCTCTGCCTGCGTGGCCTTCCTGTCGCCTCGAGTTGTGCTCTTGCTTCCCTGAGTGTGCTTCCACCCTGTGTGTGTCCTCCCTGCTAAGCTCTCCGGCCGTGCCATCGGGACCCACAGCTCGGAGCTGCCCAATCCCGTGTCCCTTTCTTGTTCGCTGTGAACCGGCTTGGCGCAGAGGGCTGAGCAAGAAGACCCGCATCAGGAAGCTGTCCCTGCAAGAGGCCTTCTCCCGGGCGCTCTGAGGATGCTCCCTCTCCCCCCTGGCTCCCACCTGGCTTGCTCCCAGGCTGGGGCTGCAGTGCCCCTGGCCCCTGCCCCTGACTCCTGTTTCTTTGTTTGGCAGCTGGACCCGCCTGATGTGGACCAGGAGACTCCATCCCACGCCAGTGTCTCATGGGTTGTGGATCCCAAACCAGACTCTAAACGGAGCCTCAGCACCAAGTACGAGACCACTATCTACTAAACCAGCCCACCCCCTGTCTCCACTAGTCACTGTGCCTTGCTGCCCGGTCTCTGCTCGCTCCACTCTCCTCGCAGCTGCTGACGCCTCAGGCCCCACGGGGCCCGCTCTCCTGGGCAGCTGTTCCCAGCACTTACCCCCACCACGCACTGTGAATTCTCCCCCTTGGGCTGAAGACAGCTTAAGGGGTGAGTTGCCTTTGAGGTGGGCCGCCATGGGACAAGGGATGCACTGTGCCAGGAGCCCCCAAGGGGCAGCGCAGGACTCTGGGGCCTCTGCTATGAGAGCTGAGCACTGGCCTCGCCCCTCCTGCCACAACCAGCCACTGTGACCACCCAGTGCCAGAGCCCCGCAGCTGCCCTCCAATGCTGGCCTTGCTCGCTCTCATGGCTGGGCCCTAGGGAGGCCATATTCAGTGCTGTGGCCTGACCAGGGGCACACATGCTGTGAGGGCCCTGTGTGCACTCTGCCAGGTGTGTGGGTGCAGGTTGGTTCCCCCCAGCAGGTTTCTTGGCTAGTGGGCCCTCTGCTCCGTGGAACACGGTGGGGTGTATGCGTCTCTGCCACTGAAGCACCAAGCTGGTGGCCTTGGTCCAGGCTTAGTCCGTAGGAGCCCACTGGAGGGCTGCCTGCTCCCGTCACACACCTTTGTCCCTTACGCAGTGCAGCCACTTCAGGACCAGGCCCTGTGTGACATAACTTGGGTGTCCTCTGGGAGCTCCATGCTGTGGGTCCACACGGCCCTCCTTCGGCTTCTTGGCTCTGGAAGGAGAGGCATGTGTCCCCCAAACCACTCAGGAGCAGGGCTCATGGAAGTGGACAGAGCTTCCTAGTGTCTGGTATAGCACCAGTTTAGATGGCAGGAGAAAGGGCAGCCCTCGGGAGGCTGTGCAACAATAACGTGGTCCAGCAACAAAGCTAAATCCAAGTTCTGCCTACCTGACCGTGAGCCTTCCCGAGTGGACGCCACGGGCAGGGCGGCAGGCCAGGGCTGTCGGCGGGCCTTGGGGAGGCTGTGCGGGACTTCCACTGCTGCTGCTGTGTCTCCATCTCCTCCACCTTGTGCAGGCCCTTCGGTTAACACTTTCCTCCGTTTGCTTCTGCCAAGCTGAGCCACCGAGGAGCCACAGTACGCTGCAGAAACACAGCCATGGGGAGCACAGGCTCCCGCCGCCGCCGCCACCTCACCTACAGCCATGAAGACCCAGGCCCGACCTCTGCCTGTGGGACCTCGCTCAGCTGGGGGCTTGGCGGGGTGCGCCTGCCCTGGCCACAGGGGTGTTCCCAGCCCCAGCCAAGACGACGATTCTGCAGGGCCAAGAAGTGACTCAGCTCAACAGGTTTTTAACAGAAAAAAAGAAAAAGCTTTTTTGTAAAACTTTTAACACTTGGCTCAAACCTCTAGGTCAAACTGCCAACCCTTAGACAAACAGCCAGAGGGTCTGAGGACAGGGGACCGGAAGCGGGCAGCCCTCTGTGCCCCCAGACAGGGTCCCAACATGGCCTCACATTTGTTAAAGGAGCAGGCTGAGGCCGGGGAGGGGAAGGGCAGACTCAGACCTAGCAAGTTGGCTGTTCTGCATGTACTGCCCGACTCCTCGTCCCTGTCTTAAGCTAGACACGAGTGGACACAGGCACCTGCTTCCGCTGTCCCCCAAGGGAAGGCCCAGCGGCAAGGTGGAGATGAGGAAGCAGACTGCGGGGCCATGCTGCCAAGGCAAGTCCAACAGGAGGACAGCAGCCTCACTCAGGCATTAATGGGCAGATAGAATGCAGCCAGGCAATCTGATTTGTCTAATCAGGGCTGTGTGATTAGGGTTCATTTGGAGTCTCAGAATGATTGGTTTGCCAGTTGCATTCTCTGCTGCTGGCTATATCTTAGCTGGCTCCAAGTTTAGACGAGGCTCTGTCGGTCCCTTTAATTCTTCCCCAGCATGGCCTTCAGAGCAGGCCGGGTCTGGGCCCACTAATGCTGCTTACCTTCCCAGGGCTCGGGCCACGTGCCTCCTCCTGGACTCCTTCAGCAATGAAGGGCTGTGGTGTGGACAGGCTGCCCAGGCCTGCTGCTCACTCAGATCCTTCCCGGGTAGTGGGCACCAGGCACTACCCACTGCAGGAAACAGAGCAGGCTGCACAGTGGGCTCAGGAAAACCAGGCCTCAGCAGCACTCGTGGCTGCTTAACTGTGACTGGAGGTTTAATGTGGTCATGTACCTGGGTGTGGCCAGAGGGTGACGGCAGGCCCAGGTCTTGCAGCTGACTTGAAGCTGGGCCTCCAGTTTGCTGAGCGCCCGGCCTGGCCAGTCCTAAGAGCAGGACCTGCTCTGCAGGAAAGGCTGCGCCACCTCCTTGGTACCACACAAGGACCTCAGGTCCTGCAGCTGGCCTTGCTGGGAGGATCTGGCTGGCTCACGCTGTACAGTATTCAGCTCTCCTCCCACAAGAGGCAGCCCACGGATCCTGGGACCACTGCCTGCTGTATCGCCCGGGTCGGGCCGTTTCTCCCTTTGGAAGAGGCCCAATTCCATCTGAGCCGGCTTCATCCCAGTGGGTAGGAGACCCTGAAAGCCAACTGTGAGGACACTACGCTGAGCGCCTTGGGTTGCCTGGTTAGAGCCTGGCATCTGCCCCCTGAAGCTGCTATCCTCCTTGTTCAGTCAGGGTGTGCTTACTCAGCTGGCTCCCCTGCACTGGTTTTGAGATTGGCTTATTTCTGAATACTCAAAAGAATGTCAGGAAGTGACCAGAGACCCCTCTTGTGCCACCAACCCCAGCCCTTTTCTTCCTCTCCCAGGACAGGCTTCAAGGAGAGATGCCCCTGGGTGTGCACTAACAAGTGCAAGCCACCACAGCAGCCCTGTTGGTCCCCATGTTTCTGAACTGTGAAGGAGCCCCCACCCCAAGGGGGAGACTTCAGCTGGGGTTGGCACCAGCCCTGGCCCAGCTGCCCCGCCCCACCCTCTTCTGCTTGCTCTGCACCTGTCACGGTCCACCTCTGGTGTCTGATAGCAGGGGCTCCTTGGGCAGCTGGGCTGAGCCAGTAGCAGGCCAGGCTGTAACGGGTAGACCTCGGGCAGCCAGCTGAGATGCCAGGCCTGCAAGGTGCAGGTCACAAGCATCATTGCTGATGGAGTGCCAGTGGGACTGAACTGTAATAAAATGTTATTTAATCTTTGTCTCTGTATTTTGATACTTGAATGATTCCCCTCTTGCTTTACTGTACATAATTGTTAGTCTGTCTGATTTTGTCTGAATTATCAACATCTTGTGGTACCAAACATAACCAATCTGTGTGGCAACATAGACTGACCTCACTACACGAGACAGTGTAAATGTTCCTGGGCTTCCAGCTTTGGTTTTGTTATTTTCCTAATTGTACAACTTAGAACAGATGGAATGAATAAATGAGGAACAACAGAAAACCAGCCTCGTTCTTGGGGCCCCGGGCTCGGGGAGCACCACAGTGATTTTGGCAGAATGTGAGCGCCCGGCTTGAGGCATGCTAGGAACCCTGCTCTCCCAGTGGCCAGCTGTGCATACAGCCCTGCTGAGGCGCAGGGGCTGGGCTGCGAGAACCAGGAAAGGGCCCGACTCTGGGCTCAGCTGTGTGCCGGGCAGCATTGGGGACAGCATGCTGTGGAAGAAAATGTATATCCCTTCAGGAACTTCACTTGGCTGGGGTTACATTTTAGGCCTGCACAGCAACCTGCTGGCTTGTAAGCCCCAGAGGGCTCTGGCACCTGAACTGGTGGGCAAAGAAGAGAATCTGGAAAAGGTACATGTGGTAACAGCAGCCCCTTCCCTGATGGGGCACCTGTGCTCCCAACTCTGCCAGCAGCCATTGAGTCAGCCCCCGCAGAAAAACATGCTCCAACTCCGCCCTGCCCAGGAGCCCCGGGCTCACTGCTCCTGCACTTGCTATAGCTTCCCAGAACACACCATGTTCACTCCTGAGTTTGCAAAATTTTCCACAAGGGCGGGCAGGGGGCGGGGTGATTCTAGTCCAGTCCAACATCTGATTTTACTTGGAAGCAAGCAAGCGCAGACAAGGAAACAGATTTTCCTCTAGCCAGAGAGCCAGCTGACAGTATAGCGGGCCAAGCCCCTGTGCCCGTGCTCACATGGGGTGTGGAAGGCCACCCTGGGCTGCAGCCCAGGGTTCACTGGGTGGGTGGGAGGGGGCGGCCACCTCTTCCAAGGACAGGCCTGTGCTCAAGCCACTCACCCTCACTGCAGCCCTTCTGGACAGAAGGCACCCAGCTGGTGGGAACACATCACTGTGCTGCCGCTGTCCCTGCAGGGCCACACTGCAGCCAGGACGGGGCCAGTTCACAGCAAGCCCCAGGCCTGCTCCTCAAAGCCAGTGCAGCACCTGTGGTCACTCAAGACGCGAGGGGGCTGCATCCAGCTGCCTCCACCGTGCCCCACTCACCAGAGTCTACATGCTGGGGACCTGAGCGGGAGGCAGAAATGCTGCCTTCTCAGCTGTCTTGGAGTTAACTCTACTTGAGTGGGTCCTTGTAAGTCTCCCCAGCTACCTTGTAGTCCAAGCCACTAGGAGACAGCTCTGTCAGCTGGAGCACCTTCTAACAGTGGCCCGGCTGCCCCACTTTCATTTCCTCGCCAGAGGCATGAGAAAGCAGAGGATGCCCCAAAGCCTTGGGGCCCTGTACCTGTGTGGGAATCCCAGCAGCTCCTGACTTCTGGCTTTGGTCCAGCCCAGCCCCAGTGGTTGCAACCATTTAGGGAGCGAGCCAGCAGAGATGATCTCTCTCTCCTGTAAAAATCTGCCTTTCGTAAGCACAAGAATCAAGGCTAGGAGCAGCCCAGAACAGGCCATGTTACAGAATCCACCAGTATAGATGTGAGTCAGGTCTGGGGGTGGGCCAGACTGGGCCAGTTCATAGCGCCCACTGGCAGATCTGAGAACCAGGAAAAAGTACAGGACAGGCTAGGTCAGGCTGCAACACCAGCCAGTTCATAAATAGGGCTGGGACTGGGGGCAGTCCAGGTTGAGCTAGGCTGCAGCACCCACCATCATGAGCTGGAACTAGGCTTCAGTACCCGCCAGCCAATGCCGTGGTGTGGCAGGCCATGTTAGGTTGGGCCCTCAACTCTGCCAGCAGCCATCGCGTCAGCCCCCACAGAAAAAAAGGCTCCTGCCCTGCCCGGCCCAGGGGGT